TACTATTTCAAACGTACTATCGCTTGCCTAAAGATGTAATGTCATCTGATTTGGATGGCAACGTCTCGTGGAATGCGCACTGTCATTTTGTAATTACCCAATAAGTGACCTTTTCCTTCCCCTTAAACCCAATTTGTTTGTAGTAACGTTTTTCATACTTATTGTCACTCCACTAACTAAAAATTGGCTATAGATCATTGGTTATAGAGCGAGCTTGGGAGAGACTGTCCGTGTTGTGTCGTGACAGTCGCCATTCCAACCTTAAGTCATCCGGTGCCGACAAATAAGGGGTTAAGCCACAACTCTGATATCCGGCAACAAAATAACAGGGTGCTTCTTTTGTGTCAAATTCACAAAGTGCAGTCAGGGGTTTCTCAATAACAAATAACGACAAAGCTTTAAAATCTGTTGGTAAATGACAGTTGAAAAAAACCAAATTGCGACTGATAAATATAAATTTTACATCCACATTTTCACAATAAATGAAGAACTCCTACAAAGCCAAAGGCAGTAACATTTACTCACCTGCGTCTCAAATTGTTTCAAAGTCACTGGAAATGAAATGGGTCAATATAAAGTCTGTTCATGCGCAGAACCAAGGATGCCTCCCTTTAAATATCACTTAAAAGTTTTAATTAATACGAAAAGCTCTGCGTTGATTTTGACTCTTCAAGGAGATTGAACTAAGGCTGCAAAATTTTTGAATTTTGGCGTCCTAAATTCCTTTCAACATGCGTTAACGAACTGCACGAAAGAAATTACGCCTCTCCATGTAAAATCTCTCCATAAAGTGCAATAACATCTTATTGTAGTAACATTAATAGCCCATTTCCGAATTGCCTTTAGCCTCTTTTTCAAAGCGAGTTCTGGTGCTCATCCTTTCGTATGGTAATAAGTTTTCATTCACATGCAAATTGAACTCATTTTCATACGTATGGTTGAGCACCAGGCCTCGTTTTGAAAAAGAGGCCAAACGTAATTCGCGCGAAAATGGCCTATTGTCACAGGAAAAAAGAAGAAAAAAAGATAAAAGCCAAAATTAGCATAAAAATACGACATACGCATTAAGATTTATTTTTTAAATTTGTAGAATCACTTTAAATCACTAAGCAACATTTAACTCAGAGGAAATTCTGTGAAAGTTTTGTTCAGCTGTCGGGAACAGCCTGTTTAGCCGCAGGGTCGTTTAATATTCCTATTAGGCTTTTTCTATTTTGATTTTCCTCTTTTAGGACAGCGGTAGGCGTCTATATAAAGTTGGGAAAATGAATCCTTGAGAGCACTACCTTTCAAGTTTTTCTCGCCCAAGAAATTTTGAGATGAGAGACAAGAAAATAAGTTTAGGCAACACTTAAAAAATATATTTAAGTTGTGATGCGTCCGTTCAGAAACAGAGCACAGATAAGGTCAAGAAAAAAAAAGTCACACCAGGCGCTGTGTCGAGCGAGCCGTCGATGTGCTTACCACATTTAGACGTGTTCTGTGATCTATTATTGTACAGACCCAAGGCAACATGAAATCTATCTGTTTTATATGATAGGGAAGCAAAAAAAATTGCCAATGATGATGTTTTCTATGTGTCTCGCGGTCTTCCAATCGATCATATCGAAGAACCAATCAAAATGCGTAAAATAACACAGGTGAAATCACGGGTGTTGTGCCACCCGCCTACCTGACAATTGATATTTGAATTTAATTGAGACCCGATATGTTCATCTGAGGCCTGTTGGTCTAGTGGCATGATTCTCGCTTAGGGTGCGAGAGGTCCCGGGTTCGACTCCCGGACAGGCCCGAAGTTCTATTACTTTTGAAACTCTTATCGTAAAACATTGATTTTTTTTCCGTTTCAAGTTCCAGTTGCTTGTCGTACAATTTTTACAGAAGAGTAATAGTACTGATCTGATCTGAAGAGTTGGTGCGTTGGATGGTAGACCGAATATAATCTACAAGGCAGTGCAATCTCAAGAAAAAGATTGAAAGCCTCTCTTTAGCAAGAGCTTTATTATTGATCTCTGTTCCTTAATGTACGTTTTTAGGTAATAACCCTGAAGTTATGAGGGCAAGAGGAATGTCAGAAACAACTGACCACTTCCGGCGGAAGCCAGCATATAGCAGCTGGTATACATCACAGTAGTCTTACTGAGCTTGCAAGGCTATATAGAGTATCATCCTGCTCATAAACATCGCATAGCAAGTTACAATGACAACGACAACCTAAAGCAGGGACGCGGCATTGAAGCCAACGCCCATGCCTTGAACGATTTCTTTTTCATAGTAAAGTGGAGCGCATCACCAGATGTTTCATTGTAGAAAACGTAGACCAGACTAGAATTCCAGTCTAACTGAATCCGTGAAAAAACTCTTCGGAAAAAATCGTCTTTTCTACATTTGTTTATCCTCAATAATATGAACGTTTTTCGTGTTTTCAAGTTTTGTACATTTTTCCATCCTTCTCTATCAGCGAAAATAACGCCTCGCAGACGAACTAGGGGCATGATGGCAAGGTATTCTTGACTCAAAGAATGCTGAATTTTGCGCAAATCAGAGTTGTAGATGTTTGTGAATCACCCCATGACTGTGCGGCCAGGTTACTAAGTTGGCACCAAAGTGGCGATGTCTTTGGCCAAGTTCAATCTTGTTGATTTAAAAAACAATTCCCAGGTCATTCCCTACGGAATCTCAAAACGTAATTAGAATTTAGTGTTAATGTGTTAAATTCAGCGACTGAATTGAAAAAGGGAAAGAGAAATGGTCACTGGAACATAATTCTTGCTTAGGTCAAAAAGTATTGACAACATCCTTAAAAATAAATCAAGGAAATAGATTCATCCGAACGTTATGACCTTGAACGATCAAAAGGTTTGTTTGAATTAGCCTAACTAGGGTCGCATTTTGCTTTCGTTTGTTTCACGGATAAAGATTACGGTTGTTTGTGATCTTGAAGACTGATTCATACTGTGATTTTCGTCCTTCAATGCATTATTGTATTCACTATATGATGTCAATTGCTGATAGGCTTTGGAAAGTTTCATTCACCCGTTTTAATTAAGGAAGTGTCTGTACTCGAGCCTAATGGTTCATCCAGCTGCTGCATATGTCAGTTTCCTTCAGTATTACTATGAGGCGACCAGGGCCGAGTTGTTCAAAGGTGTGTCAAGATAACCCAGGGTTAGTGTGAAATTTGATTTCAGATCTGAAAGCTCTGAAAGAAAATTCAGCTTAA